AATTATATTAGGATATCATATGATTCCGCAGTTTCATTTCTGGTTATATTATTAAAAGAATTTATAGCAAGGTCTCAAACAGATATTTATATACCCCATTATTCATAGCAGCCCAAAGGTAAAAACAAAATGTCCACCAACAGAGGAGTGAAGAAGTAAAATGTGGTCTATCCAGATAATGGAATGTTACTCAACCTTAAAAATGAACAAAATTCTGATACATGCTAAACATGGATCAACCTGGAGGACAAAAAAGGTGATATTAGCCCGACGCAAAAGGACAGATTTTGTAAGACTCCATTGCTATGACAGTCCTCGAGGAATCAAACTCACAGCCACAGAAAGGAGAATGGCAGTTGTGAGAGGCAGGCTGGAGGGAGGAATGGAGAATTCTTGTCGAAGATATAGAGTTTCTGTTTGGAATGAGGAAGACAGTCTAGAGATGAATGGTGGTGGTAGTTGTACAACAGTGGGAATGTGTTTAAGGCCACCAGATAAAATGGTTAAAACACAAATGTTATGTCTTGTATATTTTACCACAACTTTTAAAAGGAATGAGACGCTGATACATGCTCCATGGATGAACCTTGAACATTATGCTAAGTGAAATAAGTCAAGCACAAAAGGACAAATTTTGTATGAAGCTAATTATTTTTGAAATATCTCTAACTGGCAAATGTATAAAGTCAGAAGTCAGATTAGAGGTGACCAGGAGCTAGAGGATGGGAAATTTGGAGGTATTGTTTAATGTGTACAGACTTTTTATTTTGGATGATGGAAAAGTTTTGGAAATAGAAGGTGGTGATGGTTGGACAATACATCACTGAGTAGTATACTTAAAAGTAATTAAAATATCAAAATTTTTAAAGTTGTACGTATTTTACTGCAATATGGATAAGTAAGTAAATCCGAACTTTGACAGAGGTGATATTACAAACTATTAGGGCAATGAGAGACTAGTCAATGAATAGGGCAGGAGCAACGAAAAATCTTGTTGAAAAAAATTAGAGTCCTATTTCATAGCAAACAAAAATATCATTTCCTGTGGATTAAGGACCTAAAAGTCAAAAGCAAAACTTTGAAAATGTTTTAGAACTTTTAGAATAACAGAGTAGAACAGAAATTTATTTTATTAAGAACAATCAAGGTGGGGGTTGGAACTGGCAGGTGAGGGAAACTGCCAGGGGAGGGGGGACATGCCTCATCAACAAGGGTACCTGCATAATGAACATGTGTATACCTAACCCTGAATTGTACCCCACATCTTTAAAATAAAATTTATAAAAAGAACAATTCAAAAATATAAACAATAAGAGACTGATGCATTTTCCTGTATTAGAATTAAAACCTCTGCTTGACAGCATGAAAGTAATAAGTTGATACCACTTCATACTGATCAGAACTGCAAAACTTCAAATGTCTAGTGGCAGCCAGTGTTGGCTTGATAGAAGAAAGCCAGAACTCTAGTATCTGCTGCTAAGTGTGAAAATTGGTCTTTAGAAACCCTGTTGTCCAGGCAGGGTGAGAAAGGTGTGCATATGAAGGGTTGCCTGGGGTGGAGGCAGAGCCCACGTGGCATGAGGAAAGAGGAACTAGTTATAGAGATGGTAGATTGCTTACAGAGAAGAGAACTGATCAAATAAGTAAGTATAGTGAAGATAATTAAAGGCGCATTTCTCATTGTCACAGAAGGGAGTTATAGATATAGGAAGGGAGAAGAGTAAACTCTATGGTGTTGGGTTGGGACTAGAGGTACACTACTCTTCATTTTTGTAGACAAGTAGGTACGTAGGAAGATGATAGATTTCTATATGTAGGCTGTGCTATAGTTCGAATGTGTCCTACAAAAAGAATGTATTAGAAAATTAATCCCCAAGGCAACAGTGTTGGGAGGCGGGCTTAATGAGAGGTGATTAGACCATGAGGGGTCTGCTCTCATGAAAAGATTAAAGCCATTATAAAAGAGTAAGTTCAGTTCTGTCTCTCTCTCTCTCTATTTCTCTCTCTCTCTCTCTCTCTCTCTCTCTCTCTCTCTCTCTCTAGACTTCTCAGCCTCCAGAACCTTGAGCCAATACATTTCTATTCATTTAAATTAACTAGCCTGTGGTATTGTGTTATAATAGCACAAAATGGACATAAACATATTGATATAATTTTTTCCTCTAGCTCTGTCCAATAAAAGCACCTGGAATAATGGCACTTAACCAATGAACACATCCAGCACCCAGAACTTGACTTCTAAATACCATTATCCACTAAAAACTATTCGTATTTCTTGAAGAAATGGCTAAAACCATGTCTGGGGCAATACAAGGTAAGCAGGTATGGTTTGTTCTACCAGATTGAAAGTGCTCAAAGAATGATGGAGACAGGTCAAAAATGTATGGCTCCATGCTTGAAGTGGTTCACGCTAGTCACATATGCAACTATTTCAACTTCAAGATAAATAATGATCACAAACCACTGAATAAAATAAGAAACCATGAGTCCATTATAGATACAAATAAAAGTTTGGTAAGTAATGGAATACTTACACAGTTTCAAAATGCCTCCTCACAAAACGCTCATTAATTACAAAAATTTTTTTTAAAGAGTAATTCACAGTTGGAGAGGTCTAGAAAATTCTACCTTTTTACAGTGGTCAAAGTGAACATCATTGGTAATGGAATAGATCATAGTCATATGTCACCTGCTAGAATACAATGAGTAGACCAAAGCATCACTCCTGTGTTATTCCTGACAAAGATGCATAATCTGAATCACATCATGAGGAAATAAACCAAAGAAATTGAAGGACATTCTACAAATAACAAGCCTATGACCATTAAGAGTCCAAAGTCATGAAATCATGAAATCAAAGAAAGACTAAAGAACTGTTCCAAATTGAAAGAAAACAAAGAGATGGCAACTAAATGCAATACATAAGCTTGAACTTGATTCTTCTGCTATAAGGAGCACCATTGGGACCATCAGTGAAACGTGAATGGGGTCTGAGGATTAGATGGTAGTAATGCATCAATGTAAATGATGATAGTTGCATTCAGTGTATGTAGAAGAATATTCTGGGGTGTAAAATTATGCACTAAAGTATCTGGGGTGATGTGAAATCAAATGGCAACTTTCAAATAGTCCAGAAAAATTAACTTATACCATATTTGCAATATTTCTTTAAAATTTATGATTGCCTTCACAATATGAAACCACAATAATGGCAAAATTTTAAACTAAAAATGTGCATTTCTACTGATCAATAGCTAACAAACTGTCCCACATGTAGACAAGCAACAAGCAGGTCTCAATGGACTCATTACATTAGAAAATTGTAATTTATGACATGGAGCAGACCACCACCCAATGACCTTAATGACTTTCCCCCATCAAAGGAAAGGATTAAAAGGACTCAACCACAAGCAGTCAGCCACCATTGCCTTACTAGACTTTGGTGTGGCCATGTACTCTTTGAGTTATGGCCAGGCCATGTTTCCTAGCTCTGGCTATCTCCTCTACCTTGGGGAGATGAATCTCCTCTTTTTCTCTCTCTATCTAATTTGTTTTCTAAATAAACTATATTTTCTAATCTAAAAAAAGAGAAAATTGTAATATAAAATATGTATTCAATCCAAATGTCCATCAAAGGGAGCATCATTATGTTGATCAAAGTACATTTATACACTGAAATACTACTCAGCAGCTAAAATGAATGAACTGTCTCCATAGGGATAAATGACGTGGAAAAGTAATCTGGTAAATAACAGGGATAATGTTTCTGTAAATGTTTTAAGCAGACCAGGCAGTCTGGTGCACTTTAAGGTTATGTCTGCAAGCTTAAGAAAGTAGACAGGAAGATCACACCCCACTTCAGGATACACAGCAACCTCTCAGAATGCAACTAGATAGATAGATTCAACCATTTCAGTGTCGTCTTAATTTTTTTATATATGAAATGAAAATGGCAAACTGTTTTGCTAAATATGTGGGTAGTAGCCATGTGGGTTTGCAACAGCATGGGTCCTAAAGCTTCCACTAGGATATGATTATTTACATAATTAATTTGTATAACTGCTCATACTCATTTTTATTATTTATAATTTTATTCTTTCATAATTAAAATTTTAAAACAACAAGGTCAAATAAAATTACCAACATTTCAGAGACTTGTCAACAATTCATTCAGAATTTGAAAATAAAGTCTGGCCTGGCCGGGAGCCACTCTGAAGTTTTCCAGACTAAGCTCCATGCCCCTGTTAGAACTTTCAGTCTCACTGCAAAGTGGGGGACTAAGAACCTCTACGAATAAGGATAAGTGAGATGCAAAAAAAGAAGGGAAAGACCCCTTTTGAAGAGAGAGCTCAAGAACTGAACAGAGTCATCGAACTCTGTGACTCCCAGAGGAAATATTTTCTTTTGTGAAGGGTCACACCTTTTGATTAAGATGAAGGGCCAATGAAGAACCATTTCGTGAACTATTATGTAGAGGCTATGACATAGTTTTTAATTTTCAGAAGTGCCGTTGCAAATATATTTTATACCTTACGAATTATTTGCAATGCCAGACTTCATAATTGTATGATTATATAAAATGTTCCTGTGATATCACGATTTCTTAATGTGAATTAAAGCAATGAAAATAATGAAGATATTGTCCCTCCCGGGCCATGTCCCCTCCTTGTACCATGCTTGTTCTGGCCATTTCATAATTCACACAACTACACTCTCAGCTCTTTAAAACATCACTTCATTAAGACCACTGTTCAAGCGCAGATAGAGTTTTAGTCTTATTTTTTTCATTGATTGTCAGAAACAATTTTCTCATTTGAGTTTACTGTCTTCCTGTGTGGCCAACTCAACTTAATAATCTCTAATAGACTGCCTAACTAAGCAATATATTTGATTAGGAGAGAAATCTCCGTCTGTCTTTGCAATGGGATTCATTCGTCCCCTCTTGCTGTTGCTGTTGTTTTGAGTGAGAAGTTAGGGAGCAGAACTCCTCAGCGAGGCACCTGGACTAGGTCAGATTCGTCTCCACTGTGCGAGGAAGGAGAGGTAGACCTGGAACTGATGTAAAACTTGATCTTTAGGTTCTGTGCAAATACGTTCTCTACCGGATCAGTCTACAAAAACAAATCAGGGGGAAAAAATTCAAGAGATATAAAATTCACAGCTCTTAAGGTACATCATGAATGTTATGGGTATTTCCCAACAATGGTAACGAAAATATAACTTGAATATTCTTGTTAGGAGCATTTCAACGTGCAAAGCCGCAGCCATGACGCCACAGCTGTGGGCAGAAGGCTGATCTAGATGGCACCACTCGGCTCTCACCCGGAGCAGCGTCTCTGCTTCACCTTCCAGCCATCTATTCCATGCACAATATTGCAGGTATCAGAAGAATTTGAACAGGTTGATTCCACCCGGGGTGGGTAAAAGAGAAGTGAACTAGAAACTAATGATACAGATTCTGTCCCTGAAGGTACGTGTTGATACTAAGTGAAAATAAAAGTCACTAACCATTGCAGTTTATGATACAAAACGCTTGCTTACCTTGCAGCATAGAAATGCTGGCACCGTGGGCAGCATTTTTTGTGCTAAGACGTTTCTTGGACTTAGTTTGGAAAATCATAGAGCGCATAATTTGATGATTTCCAAAGTTATAAGGTTTCTTAAAAGTAATGCAGAAGAAATCCAAGATTTCTGTATTGGAGAGGGTTGGTTGGAAGATGTGGGGCGACTTACAGGGCACCCCTCCTGGGACTGTGTGCGCACAGTGTTTTGTATGTGACTGTAGAACCATGATAATGTTTTTCAATTTTCTTTACACTTAATATTTAATGTACATAAGATGATAGTGGTAGTAGTTATGGTGGTAGTAACAGCAATTTTAATTGGGCATTTAGGGATTTGGGAGAGCTGGTAGAAATTAAAGAAAGGACATAACAGGCCTAAGCACCCCTTAGTCTTAAAGCCACCACAGTAAAACAGTTCCATGAATTTGCAGGGGTTTGTATAAGCATGGCCTTGGGCTAACAGAACAAAATCTCTTTAGAGTCAGGCTAAATAATATGTCGCAGATTACTGATGATATGCAAAGAAAAAGCTCTCATTTGTAAATTACTTATTAGATTCGTTTTCAATTCAAAGCAACATCTAATATGTGGCTTAAGTCCCAAATATCCTGTTTATTTTCTCAAGGTGGGGACAATAATCTTCACTGGTAACTCATGTGATCTCTGTCATGAAATTATGATATTCTGCTCATATGCAAATGCTCCTTGATTCATGACAGGGTTAGGTCCTGATAAACGCATTGTAAGTTAAAATTAAGTTGAAAATGCATTTAATACCCTGATAAACCCATCATAAAGTTGAATTGTAAGTGGAAGCATTTTAAGTCCAAATCCTCCTCAACTTGCAATTGAGTTACATACTGATAAGCCCACTGGAAAATCCAAAAATTATACGTTGACCCATCATAAACTGGAGACTATCTGTGTTTAATTGATGCTTCTTTGGTGTGAAAAATTTTAAAAGTCTATTTGTGGATTAGTTCCTGCTACTGTATTCTATGTGGCTATTAGTTTAGATATCCACAAGGCTCCCAACAAATTAATTAAGCCTAACACTGAAGGTTGGGACTTAAAAACACCTGTCACTTCTTGTCAAAAGATTTATTCTCTTGTGGGACTATGAGCCTCACTGAGGAAGAGGCTGTGTCCATCCGTCTTGCAAAGACAGCTCTCATCACACTGCTTGGCACAAGTGAACTCAAGTTGCGTCCTCACCTCTGACCACAGGCAAACCATTAACACTCATCTCCCCTGCTTCACCACCTCTTCTGTTGGCGTCATTTCCCTCTTCATTTTTTTCATAAATTTGTTTTTTAGTGTAAAATGTAGCAAACCCCAAAAGTACCACCCAAGTCAGAGCACAGAAAGCTGCCAACACCTCGACATTCCTTGATGCTCCTTGCCAATCACAACCTCCAGACTCCTCCGAAGGAAACCACTTTTGGTTTAGTAATCACTTCCTGTTGGGAGCCAGCCACAGAGGCCCACTGAGCATTAGGGATCAGGAAGGGCCGTTGATCCTGAGACCACGAGGATGCGTTCGGGAGCTATTGACCCCATTTCCTCCCCCTTTCTACTCAGCACTAACCAGTTTAAGCTCCTGTGAGTTCAAAACATAAAAACTCTGAGACTGGGACGAACACAAGCTAACTTTAGAAGCTCATTGCTCCCATTCTTCCGCAAACTGCAGTTTTGGCTTTCACACAACTTACAATTCAAACTCAGGTCACATCTAAGAGCCTTAGTATTGGTCACAGGCTTCTGGGTCATGATCTTAGGATTTACTGAAGTTGAATAAGGTATAAATTGTAGAATATAGTTTTAGAAGACAGCCATTTTGTTGAAAGAATGCGACTGGGTTACTTGCAGGTAGCCCACTGTGAACTTTGGACTGGGCCACATTCCAAACATTCTGGGATGGGCCACTTTAGTTTGTAAAGTAAGTATTTAAGTCTCTATAGAATTGTTTAACTTGGTATTAGTACGAAAAAGGTTTATAGGCAATATGAAAAGGGTTTATAGGCAGTACAAAAAGGGTTTAAAGGCAGTCATGGATTAAGGTTTCATGGATTAGGTTTAACATCTGTTATGGGATTATACCTGAAAGAACATCTGGTGGGTGGGGAACGCCCCTCACACACCTGACTGTGTATGAAAGACCCGTTGTAATTCCCAATAGACGGCTTCTGCACTAGACAGGGGTCCAGTCTCTTTCTTTCTCTCTCTCTCTCTTTCTTTCTTCTTCCCCCCAATCACCAACGCCATCTCCACCTCTGAGGTACCCTGAACCCGGCTGGAGCTGGACTCCTGCAAGTTCCCATCGGAAAGCCAGCAGACTTGAGACCAAAACAAGCTGATGTTTCAGTTTGAAAACATTGGAAAGAAAAAAGTTGATGTCCCAGCTCAAGCATCAGGTAGGAGTTCCCTCTCACTCACAGAAGTGTTTCTTCTTCTCTTATTTCCTGGAACATCTTGTGTACAATTGGAATTATTTCTTCCTAAACATTTAATCGATGCTTTCTGGGCCTGGAGTTGGATTTGTGGGGGAAATACTTAATGGCAGACTCAACTGTTTTAATGATTATAGGAATACTTGATACAGAGAACTGCTAATGTCTGTTCACATTGCCACAGTCTCTAGAGAAGGACATGGCAAAGGTTCAAGCGCTCCCGCACATTCCTGAACACATTTTTGAGAGCCTGCTTGTCTTCTATGCTCTCACAGGTAGTAGCTTCAGGGGATCCTTAACTTCCCTGCAGACTATGCTCAAAGATGTAAATCCCTATTTACTCCCTTTTTTAATCGTCATAACTTTGAACAATATAGTATCAATGTAATCATTAGTCTTATGATTTGTATAACTTTTGCCATGCATGAAGTCTTAGGCTTTGTAAACTTTCTTTAAATGTCGCGATCTAAATGTAAAATGCAGCTGTAACTTAAGTTCTATACAATGTTCTGCTGGTTTGTGGCGAATGTATAGTTACTGACAATTTTGGACAATAGGAGTGGACTGCGAGGCCTGACGGGTGGGCAGAACCATTTTAGAAAGACCTCAAGTCCAGTTCTGCTCCCTAGATTCGAATTCAGAAATAAACTTCTTTCTGCCAGTTCCCTGCTTGTTTGATTTATCAGTATCAAGGGAAAGCAATTGAGCATTACTCAAACCATATCATATTCATGTTTTATACACTTTTCTCTTGAGTTGATTCTGAAAAGTCATATTTTCTAATAATTTGTTCAAATTACTTTTATAGCTTTATATGAGATATTTCATATTTTAAAATAGCTTAAAGTCGTTATGCATTTTCTTGTTATCTTTCACTATTTGCCCCATCTATGCTGACCACTCTTATCATTCTTGATACTGGTTTTAAGTTACATTCATTCATTTATTTGTTTGTTTGTTTTCTTTCTTTCCTTTCTTCCTTGCTTTTATTAATGAACCGTGGCATATGTTTTTCATTTTTATTAATTTTTTTTATAATGATATATATTTTTATTTTAAAATTGTGGAGTACAGGTAAAGGTTAGGTATACAAATATTCATTGTGCAGGTACCCTTGTTGATGAGGTATGCCCACCCTTACCCAGACAGATATTGACTACCATTAATCCCACCTCCCTGCCCCTCCCTGCCCCGCCCACAGTAGTTTCCAGCCACTGTTTCAATCCTTTTATTATAGTATTGCGGTAGTTGTTCAAGGTCCACTTATGAATGAGAACATGAGATACTCTGATCTTTGTTTCTGTGAAAGATCACTCAGTACTCTAAACTCTAATTCATCCAGGTTGCTGCAAAGTTCATGATTTTGTCCTTTTTTATGGCTGCGTAAAATTCCACTGTGTATATGTACCACATTTCTTTAATTCAGTCCTCTTTTGATGGACAGCACTGTTGGTTCCATGATCTTGCTATTGTGAACAATGCTGCGATAAACATACATGTGCAGGTATCTTTTTCATAGAGTGATGATGGCCATTCTGACTGGAGTTAGGTGGTATCTCAGTGTAGTTTTAATTTGCAACTCCTTAATGACTAGTGAGGTTGAACACTTCATGTGTTTGTTGGTCGCTCATATGTCTTCTTTTGAGAAGTATCTGTTCATATTTTTTGCCCACTTTGTAATGGGGCTGTTTGTTTTTTTCTTTTCAGCATGTTTGAGTTCCTTGTAGATCCTAGATGTTAGGCCTTTGTCAGACATGGAGTTGGCAAATACTTTTTCCCAGTCTATGGGCTGTCTCCCTACTCTTTTGATGGTTTCTTTGGCTTTGCACAAGCTTGTCAGTTTAATGAGGTTCCACTTGTCTATCTTATCTCTTATTGCCTGTGTGTTTCGGGTTTTGCTCAGAAATTGAATGCCAGTCCCAACTTCCATAAGGGTGTATCCTGCATTTTCTAAAGTTCTTATGGTTTGAGGTTTTACATTTAGGTCTCTGATCCATTTAGAGTTAATTTTTATGTATGGGGATAGATAGGGGTCCTGTTTGAATCTTCTGCATGTGGTCAGTCAGTTTTGCCAGCACCATTTACTGAATAGGTTCT